GCTGTACAACAACTTCTTGGAGACACTGGAGGATTTGTTAGGACAAAGATGGCTCGTATGCTCTTTAAGTTCTCTTCTAACCTTTGATTATGGGAATTTGAATAACTCTCGTTTTCTGGATAGATCCCAGAAAAAAATAGAGATTGAATATAGAGAAAATTACATTCCTGCAATTCTTATTCTTAAACTGAAAATATCTGAGAATTGGACAATGTTCAGTTATTTTTGCCACAGATCTAAAATAGATCAGAAAACTTAGGTTAAATTCAGTTATATTTGACTTTCTGATTCAATGCTAAATCTAACCATTCTGCTCCTCTTGATGCAAAATGTATATTATTTGAAAGCCAAGGGTATAGTCAGCTGATAAACACTGAATGTATTAAATTAAAAATTAAAAGGCAATATAGCGGCAAATCTAACCATTCTTCCTTACTCTTACAATAAGTACGTATTACTCTTTTTTTAAGTCTAAATTTAGACATTTTTATGGTACTAGGAGAAAGAACTGGAAGAAGTAATCAGAGGTTTGAAAAAATAGTTTTCCATTCAAGAGGGAAAGGATAGAATATGTAAGCAAACATGAAATAAACATTTGTTCTAGTTTGAAAGGGGGGTTAAGATTATATAGGAAAATGTCAGATTAAGACTGACAGAGTTTTGTGGAATTAAAAATTCTAGCAATAATAGAAGCCAAAGAGCAATAGAAAAGAGCATGCGTATTTTGAGTTTCTTAGCATATTTGAATAGAAAACTTCTATTGCTTTGCAGTGACTACAATGTAAGTATACTTTAATTATCCAATTTATATGCTTAAGCATCTGTTTTGTTTGCTTGTATGTTTTATAAAAAATTACAAAGTTCTTGTTTTATAAAAAATGTTAAAGAATGCTTTTAATGTATGTAAGTAGCAAAGATCTCTAATTATTGCTAACTTTTGTCCCATATTTTATCCCTGTTCATACTTCCTCAACTTGTAGATGGTCTTAACAAATACTTATTGGTCACCAACTAGGTATAAATCACCATGGCTAGCACTCTTAATCTTTGAAGTGTGACCACAATCATTTTATAGATAATGATGGGAAGAGTCATTTAAGCTCACAGAGGTAGATGTGGCCAAACCAGAAATACAGAACAGTTTTTCTGATTCTAAAACCTGACGTATATTTCCCAATAAATAAAATTTTCCTGAATAAATCTTGAATCTTGGAATGTACAATTTTATATTATTTTCTAGGATCCCACAGAAATGCAAATGAAGAAGTATGTAAAAACTAAAAAATTTTATTTGGCAAATTTACAATTGAATTATTACACACAGATTGCTATGATTTAGAATCTTTCTTCTCTATATGAGCATGTCTGGAGATTCTGAGATAATCTAGAAGAGCCAGGTTTGAGGACTTTTTCATAGGTTTATTGTGTTTTGCTTTCACTATCACGAGGTCAAGAGTCTCCACAAGGAGGATACCATACTGTATCTTAAATTCTCAAAGGAGCATATTTGTCCTAAAGTATAGCAGACCGCAAAACTCTCCATGGTGTTTCCCCTAATTATACAATCCCATGATTGGCCAGTCTGGTTGTTTTCCAGTCACATGGTTTTCCAACCATATTTGTTGTTTAAAAATGGAATATAAGATCCCAAGTTTTCTACATTTTACAGCATCAGAAGAGAATCAAGATTCTGTAAGGGCCATAAAGACATTTAGGCAAGAAGAAAAATGGAGGCCAATAAGGAGACTGTAATGGGACAAATAGATGGAATGGAACAATGAGCAGATGAGAGGTGATAGCAGAGGGATACACACTATTCTGTCTTAAGTTAGTTATCAGTCCCCAGTGATATTGATGATGAAGGAAGATAGGAAAATTAAAGGGAATGTTAAAGTTTTTCTATTTATCTAGTAGTACAGTCTATTGTTATATTGCCTTAATAATCTTAATACTTAATCACCGTGTTTATGGTTTTTGTGCAATAATGAACAGTTTGGAAGGTTTTTATGTTTGTTTTGTTGCCTGTTTAATCTAAGAGGATAAGAGAATTGTGCTGGTGAGAAGAGAAAACAATATTTATGATGGAAAGAGTTCTTCTGGTATCAAGATAACTAAGTCCATTTTGTTTATTTTTAATTCCTTCAGAGACGATGATAACCAGCCTGTCTTGGAATAACTTAGAATGTTTTCAGAAAAAAATGGAATAAAGCGCTTAGCTATTAGAAACTAGTGCTTTCCTATTCTAGTTTTTTTTCCCTCGTTTTCTTTTGACCCTGCGAGTTCTACACTCTGAAAGATCTGACATGTACCCTCACTAGATTACTGATGCTCAGGTCTCTTCCCATGCCTAACATTAATATTGTTGTCATTAATTATTCAAGACTGCAACTTTATGAAAATTTCTAGGAATGAAAAGTGTTCAACTAGATTAAATAATAAAGAAAAGGTGAAAGGCTTTAAAAAAAAACACCTAAGTCCAAGTTATGGTAGATATCTGTATTTGATATATGAAAAGGCGAGCTACAGAGTTTACCATTGGCTAATCTTGGAGTTTCCAAAAACTCATGCTTGAAGGAGAAAGTCTCTAAATTAAAACCTGTTTGCGTATTATATGCATGCTGACATAAACAGATAAGTTGGTTTTATTAAACAAAAACAAAAATATTTAAAATGGAAAGAAACATGGACAGGATCAATACCCATCTATTATAGATGTAGAAATGAAACACCTAGGATTAAAAGTAAGTGAAAATAACTCACAGAGAGAACCTGGAACAATCCGTTGGGTTACCTGTGCTCCTCGTATTGTCATAGACACACCATTTGTGAGGATCAAAGAAGAAACACACTGACCATTTTTCTAAAAGGTACTTTTTCACAAATATATAAAACCAGTTATTGATGTACTCTTCTATAACACTGTAGACATCAAAAAGTTCATATCATTATGGGAAATAAAAACTATGTGATATAATGAAAAGATCAATTATTATTGTATTAAAAGTCCTTGCCCAACTAGATTTTACACTTAGTTTTAATCACAAAGGTAGAGAAAGTCAAAAGTGTCCTGGCTGATACTCATACTTTCTGTGCTTTGATTTGGAAGTGACCCTAAAAGCTAAAATAACTTTAAAAGAAATAACTGAACTTTTATTAATATTCTCTTTCTCTGTTTTTCAGATGCAAATACTAGATTACAGTTAACGATGCCTTTCTTCTTACACAAAGCATTTAACTGATAAAATGGTAGAGCAGGGCAGGAGCATTGTGTAAAAGATAATAAAACCATTTTAAAAATTGATTGGAACCATTGAGATAATTTCATTCAAGCAAAAATTAAGTATGAGGATACTGAGATTTGAAGAAACTATATAATATATACATTACGGTCAGAGATAGAACTAGAATGAATTATTCTTGACTTCTATGCAGTTTTTCCTATTTTACCTTTATCATAAGTACTAACCATTAAAAACTTAAGTTAATTTTCATCTCTCTATATTTTATACTTCTTTTCAGCTACATGCTGCCCATTAATCAATGCATGCCATGGACTTTCAAAATCAGACCACAGTCACGGAATTTGTCCTGACCGCCTTCCCTGTTCTCCAGAAGCTTCAAAGTTTCCTATTTGTGGTGCTGCTGTTTACTTACATGCTTACTCTGTCAGGAAATACTGTGATCATTTCCCTCATATGGACGGACAATCGTTTCCAAACCCCGATGTACTTCTTCCTCAGTAATCTGTCAGTTTTGGACAT